ACGGTTCGTTTTGGGTCTTGTGAAAAACTTGCTAACTTCAAAAAATCTGGATACCACTGACAACGATGTGATCAAGCTGATCAACGAAATGTCGATATCTGATGTGTACACCGACGTTAGGAATCCGAACAGTAATATGTCGTATCTTTCTGGAACAGCACTTTGTAGTGTACCGGAACCAGTAGAAGTTGTGCTAGGCACGCGAAAGGTATTACGAACTATTGGCGTCTTGCAGTGAAACTTTTCCAAGCTTTCGCCACCTACATTTCGAAGTGAGAACTACTAGAAGGAGGATAGTTTCCAAATTTTCCAAGTAAAACAGACGCTTTTTGGGGCAAATCGGTCCATAAAGAAAAACTAATAATTTCCCGTGGAAACTTTTGCTTCAATCGTGTAAGAAAACGTGTTTGAAAACTATTTGTTATTATTTCGGTATGGATCGGAGATGTTTTCATGGCAAACTATGCATAACAAGTTTGCACCCACAGGGAGAGGTTACCTCCTGCGCAGCTGCATTTTTCAGAAAATGGTAAATATGTGCGATTTTTACTAAGATGAAAGTGGAAATTAAGTGAATTTACTTAGGAAAGGTTGTATCATGCTGGTGGTAATGGATAATTGGTAGTATAGGATGAAAATATTCAATAAATGTTCATTTTGGCCTTTTTTAAGCAAACATATTGATACTCACAATTTTCGACGGAAAACGCACCGGAACTTGATTTACTCAACACGCACCATACTATAAAATGGTGCTAGATGGTCTTCAAAGTGATAACAAGATGACAAATCATGTTTATTTTGAGTAATTGAACAATTTACTTCTGTTTACCATCATATTTACGATGCAGCATTGATGGAGCCGTGAAATGAAATGAATATATCTTATGAAAGTTCACCTGGAAAAGTCAAAGATGCACATCAGTCTGATCGTAAAAACGTTTTCTTCTTCAATTCAAATGTTATATTGGAAGGATTTCACGCAGGCTTGATGAAAATTATGATTTAATGCTAATTTTCACGAATTTTATATGCAGTCTGTCAACACTATCATCATCATGCAGTGGCGACATCTGCGTTGAGCTTTTGCGGCAATCTTCCAATTCGCTATCAACGAGAAAGCAGTAGAAAGACCAGGAAGGTGATTCGAGTTATTAAGAAAAACAACACGGTTAAGGATACCATGCACTACATTCCTATTAAGGACACTATTTCCTTGATTATGAAAAATTCTTGCGCAAGAGAAATGGTTGCGAGCAGTGTCTGTTTTTATCATTTACCATCACAAGCAAGGAGTATCGCTTCAACCCAGTGTCGATGAATTGCGTTTGTTTTGAACATCTTCAGTTACGAAACGAGCGAAATGAACAAATCTCGGTGAACATTTCAAATGGTCCTATCTGCTTTGATCGATTCTCTTCATCGACTTTCTCTTTCGTTAATAACTCAGCTGCAAAACCTTTGCCTGTTGTATTTGACGTTTTGGACGCTAGATAAGAACCTCTTTTATCAAACTAAGAGGTAGAATTAGCGCGAAATCTGTTAGCATAGCAGTGGTTATGAAAAGAGAAAGTCGATGAAGAGAATCGATCAAAGCAGATAGGACCATTTGAAATGTTCATCGAGAAATGAGTTCATTATACATCAACGAATACGCGTTTGTTGATATTCACCAGTGCTCGATTATCAAACCCAAAATTGTCAAAATCAGAAGTGATCCTCAAAAGCAAAATAATCAACGACATTTTGGGCAAAATGATTATTTTGAATATTGTCGACCACACTGCCTAAATCATCGATATTATCATCAGTTCAGCTTGAGGCAATAATTTGCCGTCGACTTATGCCTAAAAACCACGTTCTTCAGTGCTATATTTGTTTAAAATGAAAATAATCATTCTGCATTTGATCCTCAATATCATCCCGACCAAGATGAAGATGAATATCAATATTTACAAACAGAGGCGATAATGAGAATCCAGCCACGAATGAAGAAAAACAAATGTTATTATTGATACTCAGAAATTGCCTAGATCAAGGGAATTTGTTTATATCAAAATTCAAATTCATGCAGGTAGATGGTCTATCTGTTAAGGTTTTCATCATTTTCAGCTAAATTGAGTGTAGAAGAAAGGATTTTTATCAGCACTGGTTGCGAGAGAGATTAGGAGCGACGAGCAAGGGCATCGTAATGTGCTAAATAGTTTTAAGGACGGTGCTCTATTCAGAACTAACGAGTTTCTTCAAAAATACCCATTCGCTCTACGAATCTCCCTTCATGTAGATGACGTAGAAACTTGCAATCCTCTCGGTTCACGAAAAACCAAACAAAAATTGACAATTTTTTCATTCAAGTTGCAAAATATCGCAGATAAAATCAATTCAACAGTCGACCGTGTTTATGTTTGCCTAGTGGTGAAATGTAAAACGGTTAAAAAATACGGAATCAAACAAATCGTTGAACCTTTAATCAAAGATTTAATCACGCTACAGTCTGATCAGGGGATCACTATACAAATGAATGGTAAGAGTTTTACAGTTCGAGCTACTTTGGTTCACATTCTTGGTGACACCGCTGCCATTCATGAGCTTTTGGAATTAATGCCTCCGCAATCAAACATTTTCTGTAGAGCATGTTACATAACACGAAAAGAACTACACAACGGTAGATTCGGAAATGAACACACACTAAGAACTAGTGAAAGTTATGAACTAGATCTAGCAGCTGTTAACAATGGTTCCTTGTCTCCGGCTCAATGTGGAGTAATTCGAGAAAATGTTTTCAATTCTTTGAAATATTTTCATATTACACAAAATATGTCATTCGATCCCATGCATGATGTGTTAGAGGGGATAATCCCTCTAGCTATCAAGAAAATCCTTAATGATTTTGTCAACATTTCTAAATCTCTTACTGAAATTGAGTTAAACTCGAGAATCTCCAATTTCGATTACGGTACAGCGGAGAGTAAAGATAAGCCAAGTGCCAATTTTTCAGCCAAGAGCTTGAAAACTACTGGTCATGCACTAAGTCAATCTGCCTCACAGATGTGGCTCTTTCTTCGAGCGACTCCTTTCCTTTTTACTGATTTGTTATCTAAAAATGTACATTTCATGAACATCATACGTGATATTCTGAAAATAACGTTCTATTCCTTCTCGAACACACTAACAACTGATATGATCGAAGATTTTAAAAACACCATCAACAATTTTCAAATAAACTTTAAAATTTGCTTTCCTTTAACCAAGCCTACAAACAAAGTACATCACGTCACACACTATCCTAAAATCATTGAGGATAATGGACCGATTGCGAAAATGAGCTGCCTTCAGTTTGAAGCCAATTTCAAGAACTGCAAATCACAGACAAAAACTTGTGGTAACTTCAAAAATATTACACTAAGCTTGTCAAACAGAACTAATCTTAAGCAAATCAATGCAATCCTTCAACACAGATATGAAATCGACAAAATTACAATTGTGTCTTCAGTGGTGGTTAAAAAAGCTTATTTTGATTTTCATTTAATTTTGTTCGATCTTCCTGAATACATCAGATGCATAAAGCATGCGAAAATTAATGGAACTTCGTTGCGACCTGACTTAGTAGTCAAATACAAGTCATGTGGCTCTGAATCATATGGGGTCTTGAAGGCAATTATCGAAAATAACAATGACTATACATGCATAATTTATGTTCTAGAGATAATAAGATTCTGTGAATTTTATAACAGTTATGAAGTAAAGATGACTGAAAAAGTAGTAAGAGTTCCAGTCAGTATTGTATGTACTAGAAAAACGTATAGTTTTTGGAAATGCCACAACATGGATAATTCGCTTTTCATAAGCTTGAAATATGAAGATTAGAGTAAGGAGATTGTTGATCTCAATTAATTATTTTTTTCAAACTAACGCAAAATATGTTTTCTTTGATACATAATATCACAGTACAGTTCTTACGATTCTTACACTAGAAAAGTAAGAACCTCATCGCAATTAATCAAAAAAAAATTAAACTTTCTCCTCTACTTTGAGTATCGTTATAGATCCGTTGCTAATTAAAAATATCTTTTTCCTAGCCCAAAAATTCACAGACCAATCTCTGATGTTTCTTGAAGAGAAAGATCTGATATCCATTGGAATCACTCAAATGGGACCTCGGTTCATAATCCTATCAATTGTTAATAGATTGAAGGAAGCATCGTTCAGAGACCCGGAACCGGGAGAACTCAGTCAAGATGGCTTGAGTGCTGGAGCTTCGACGTCTAGCCAGAGACAAGAAACCGAAAATCATCAGCAAGAATCAGCACCCACCACAAAGCAGGTAAAGAATATAATACCATTAAACACTTTAAAGAACAATAATTGGTAGTTATTTAGTCAAACTCTTCGTTGTAGATTCGTGAAGTGTTAGTAAATAACGCCAAGTTCCGGAAGATTGTCTACGGTAAACTGGATTTGGATGTGGTTCCTATCCACACAGAACTGCTACTGATGGTACGCATTCTCTGCAACGATATGGTGTCCAGGATGTTGAATGAGAAAATGTAAGTACCTAAATAATATTTTTTTGTTTCTTAAAATGTAGGTTGTAGTAGGATTAATTCAAATTCCTTAATAGTTGCTGGTTTCTCGTCGTCGGATCTGTTTCGTTATTTTCGTTGTTTAGCATTCTTTTGACGTTTCTAAAAGTTTCCAAGGAACATACTGAAATTGAGAGTAATGCAAAAGGTTTAATTTTAACCAATAATTCTAGGCGAATAAAAAAAAAAAGGATTATTATATAGGTATTACTTTGTGGTCCATCTCAATATGTGCAGCAATTTACCATCCAAAATCCACTTAGATATGGAAATTTTTATCTTATTATTTACATCCGTCGTACTTTCAAAAAGATTCCATATTGGTGACAAATAATATTGAAATAATTACACATGAATTTATGATTTCAGATACCCATCAACCGACGACAAGAGAAAACTTGCATGTGACATACTATCTGCATTTCCTGTGCTACGGTTGACGAAAGTTACTGAGAACGCGCCTGACTGTGTGAGTGATGGCATTTAATTTTTTATTTACAATTTTAATCATAATTTCTCTTTTAGTCATTTTTCTTTTGGAAGAATTCCGGAAAAGGGCCTGGAAATGCACACTCAGGATTGATTTACTCACACCTACGGAATGCCTGCAAGAACCTTTCACCAACCAAACGGAAATTCATGCATCGGGCAAAGAAGATCGACATAGCTAGCGTTTCGTCAGAAATCGTTGCTTTATCTGAACAGTGTGCTCAAGATGAGGCAACATCGGCCAATTTCATCAATATTGCGAGAATGATGATTGAAATACAACCACTACATAACATGCTAATCAACAGCAAAAAAGGAGTACCTGCTATACTTCAGGTGCTGCCTCATTTCAGATCATATAACGGTGCTATGGTACGTAATTTGTGTAAACTTGCGTAAAATACGTCAACATATTTATGTTTCTATCTTCTTATTTAGATTCGCCAAGCGTACGAACGTATGAATCCGAGTTACTATAGGGAAGCTAATGTGAAGAAGGTGTTTTCGTTAGGGCTAATCCTTGAAAATCAGACGTTCACTGTGGTTCAAGATGGTGAGCAAGAAACAAGCCTGGATTTTTTGAAATTAGTTATTATATCGAATAATTCTTTTTTATGCAGAACACGTTCGTGGATGTTTGCGAATAATGGGACGACTTTCCAGAAAAGGCGTCAAGAAACTACCTGTAGTCATGCCATTAGAAGTAGAGGAAGAGTTGGCTTCCCCATTGATTCGTTTCATTCCTGTAAGAAGTAATTTAAGTTTGTGTTATCTAAGCTAATATATATTTTTATTCTATCTAGGACTCACCTTCGGCTTTGGCTGAACAGCTAGCCAGATATGCTGCCTACGACATTGAAAACTTCCAGAAGGTACCCCCCCACTTGATTAACCAAGGAGAATCGTTTATGATTTATGCAGAGGGACAGATTATTTTGCTTGGTACATGTTCGGTTCAAGCGATTGATACATTTGTTAAATTTTTTAATGTTTTCAATTATAAGGTGCCGAGTTCTTTGGTTAAGCTCGTGGAACTAATTGAAATAATTAGTTATAAAGTAAAACAAAACAGCTCTAGACAGTCCGTTAATGTGTTGTGTGCAAAAATGATTGAATCGATGAATGCCAACTGCGATTGACGAATAATTTTATTAAAAATCAATATATGTATTGATTATAATATGACATATGAATCTTTAAATAAAGTATGCAATTTAAACTTGATTTATTCGAAGTTTTATTTCTAAAATTGTTCCGTGTAAATAATTCAAATCAACAGAGGAACCCCATCCACATATTTTTCAAAAAATGCGTAAATTTTACTCCATTCGGGAGTTTATTTGGGGAGTAAAAAGTACGCATATTTTGACGTATACCTAGTATACGCATTAATGAGTAAATACGATTTACTCATTTATTGGGTAGTCCCAGTTTCCCTCAAAAATGCGTACTTTATAGTATTTATTGAGTTTTTTGCGATTACCGTGTATGTGGTTTGCCTTATGGAATGTATAAGGCTGATGTTTTGGCAAAAATGTATAAGTGAAACACATGAATAAATTAATTAATTTTCGTTTCGTGCAGGTCAATCCATCGGTTGTGTAATATCACATTGTACTATGTACATCGATTTTGCGAACAAAATTACATCCATTCTGCGTTTTGCTATTACACTCGATTACATCATTATTTCATACATCAGCTTGAATTACGTTGATCGATATTAAATTTTATTTTTGCTGTGTAGGAACTTGTGAGGACCAGGGCTAGGTATTCCGCTCCTTCCAGGTTGTCAACTCACCGTTTTGTAGCCCAAAGCCGTTGGTCCCCGGTCCATGAATTGATAGGTCGATAGCTAGGGTCCAGGTGTGGGAGCTACCTCCCTGGCGTCGGTAGCATTGGTACTCAGTACGGAAAACAAGATCAACGAAAAACCAATCAAGGAAAAAAAAATCATTGTAGCGAAAATTATACAATGTGCTTTAAAAGAGCTCTCCAAGCTCAATCTCACAAACACTGAAGTGCAACGTCCATACATAAAAATGAAGAAAAAGATGAACCAAAAAGGTATCGTGTTATCAATGACGTTTGTACAAGGTCTGGGCGAGGATCTGTGTCAGCAGGTAGCTTGCTGGTGTTAGTGACGATGTTAGTATGGATTGTATGACATTCCCCCGAAAGCCATTCCTCAGAATGCTATTCCCCAGAATGTACCATTCCACAGAAAGCCATTCCCCAGAACGGACTATTCCCAATAAAATCATTCCCCAGAAAACCATTCCCACAGAATGTACCATTCCCCAGAAAAGTATGCCACGAATTAGATTGACTATTTTTGTTTATTATAGTCACTCCTGGAATCTTCTTTCGCGTATATAAAAAGAATAGAAAAACTTCTTAATAGATCAAGGCGTTTTCCTTTCTTTGAAAATATAACAAAAGGAAATAATTAATTCTTTGGATATACGATAAAGAAGGGAATATTCCCTTTTTTAATATATAAAAGAAAACATCATTAATTCGCTAAATATATGATAATATTTGAAAAGGAAATAATTAATTCTTTGCATAATATTGGAATATTCCCTTCTTTGAATATATAAAAGAGAAAATAATTAATTCTTTGGATGTATGATAAAGAAGGGAATATTCCCTTCTTTTAATGTATAAGGAAAATTTATAATCAATAGGTCGTATGAATAAAAGCGTTTACATTACTTTCCCCATATAACGGCACCGGTGGTGTAGTGGTAAGCGTGATTACCTCTCACCCCAGCAGGCCTGGGTTCAATCCCAGTCGGCGCCGCTGTGATGTTCTGAGGCATAACATCTCTGATCACGCCTTCCTTCGGATGGGAAGTAAAGCCGTTGGTTGCCCGGTTCATGAATTGATGGGTCGATAGGTAGGATCCAGGTGTGGGAGCTGCCTTCCTGGTACGTCGGTAGCATTGGTGCTCAGCACGGAAAACAAGATCGACGGAAAAAACAAACCGAAGGAAAAAAAAAAAATTACTTTCCCCGTAAGAAAAGCACGGGAAAGTAAAGTAAACTCTTTTTATTCATACGGCCGGCCCATTAGCTTTTCGCAAGGGATTCGGGGAAATAACGAGTGGAATAATTTTATAAATTTGTTATCGGTAGTTCAACCGGTAGTTGCACCGATTTTTTAATCCATCGCGAGAAATTCTTCAACTCAGGTTGAACAATTCTTCGATAAGGTTTAACAGTTTCCGACTGGTTGAATTGGATTGCATAATAGACCCTTTGACTTATTAAATGATGAACGAAGTGCTCGAAAACTTGAAGGTTGTCATTTTATAAAGAGCTAAAAAATGGTTTGGAATTGATAAATACATAGTTCCATAAAAGTAAACATAGTGTATTAGGCCGTTCGCAATGCTGAGTTTCAAAATTGTTTTAAACGACTTGACAATTCTATAATTTGAAACTGTCAAAAATAAAACTGCAACACGATCAGCGCAACGCACAGTTCTAAAAGATGTTTGTAATCACCAAGTTCCATAAAATTTACTGTTCTCTATGAAGTTCATAGAGTTTTTTTGTGAAGCTCTTTGAAACATCTTTAAATTCATACAGAAATTTGAAACAGAGTTCCATTCGTGTTTCAAACTCGCTCAGAAATAAAACAGAATAGTCGAGCAGTTGCAAATCTGGTGCAAAATAGTGCTCGAATAATGAAACTGCAACTCAGCATTGCGAAAGGTGCGTTTCTGTTCTAGTTTCAAATTGAAACAGTCCTAATAAAATACAACAGCATTGCGAACGGCCTTAGGCCGTTCGCAATGCTGAGTTTCAAAATTGTTTTAAACGACTTGACAATTCTATAATTTGAAACTGTCAAAAATAAAACTGCAACACGATCAGCGCAACGCACAGTTCTAAAAGATGTTTGTAATCACCAAGTTCCATAAAATTTACTGTTCTCTATGAAGTTCATAGAGTTTTTTTGTGAAGCTCTTCGAAACATCTTTAAATACATACAGAAATTTGAAACAGAGTTCCATTCGTGTTTCAAACTCGCTCAGAAATAAAACAGAATAGTCGAGCAGTTGCAAATCTGGTGCAAAATAGTGCTCGAATAATGAAACTGCAACTCAGCATTGCGAAAGGTGCGTTTCTGTTCTAGTTTCAAATTGAAACAGTCCTAATAAAATACAACAGCATTGCGAACGGCCTTATCAATAGTAAAAAAAAAAGAAAAGTGAACATTACTAATTTCATCATCTTTTCTGGGGAATGGTACATTCTGGGGATTTTTTTCTGGGTAATGGTTCATTCTGGGGATTTTTTCTCTGGGAAATGGTGCATTCTGGGGAATAGTATTCTGGGGAATAGCATTCTGGGAAATGGCTTTCAGGGGAATGTCATACAATCGTTAGTATGGCTAAAACGAATTTAATAAGTCAGTGCAATTTCACTGCAATATTCTTTTGCACCTACCTCATTTCTCGCATATCTCCGTATGTTGATCAACAAATCAATTTTTTGATAATTCATTATATAGGGGAAATGGCTCTAATGTTGGCCTATGGATCTAAGCTTGGGCCCATCGCTAAAAATTTGCTATTTATCAATTTAATCTAGATGAACGCGTCATTGGGATGGTACTAATGGATATTTTTGGTCGCTATTGAAAATTAGTCGATTGCTGAATTTATGTATGGGCCCAAAATTAGGGGATTTAGGCCGACATTACATCCATTTCCGCTACTTGATTGGAAGCCTTTAACGCTTCGCGCATTTTTTTTCAACAATTTGTTGTATTGTGCTATTTTCTAAACTTATATTTTTCCCATACACTAGTTTATAATACCAATCTGTATTTTTATATTAATTCAAAATATCCTCATTAAAAATCTGGTTTGACTTTTTCAAAAATGCGTAGAATTAGGGACTTAGGTGTATGAAATTATGGCACTTAACGGAAGCAATTTTTATTAATTTGCGCCTTATCAAAGAACGAATCGGAAGCATTGAAATAGTGTAGTAACAATGGATCACATCATTCGAGCAGTTTAAAATGACGTTTCCTACCACTCGAACTTTAACGTGGAACAATATTTTAATATTTTTTCTTCTACAACCTCGAGAAATTAGGGTCTTATTTGTAAAATGCTTGAAAAATCTGAAATTGATTGTTTCATTTCCGTAAAATCGCTGGTAGAAGGTCGTCCCAAAACTGCTCGACATTATGATTAATTAAAAGTTAACATGTTCTCTGTATTAATGTTACTCTTTTTTTTACATTATGTAGGGGAATTTACGTATTCTCGTCAATCTAAGCAGCGTCTGCACTTCTACTAGCATTTTCTCAGCGTCACGCACATATATGATGTGTCTGTTTGTTTACATTCATCTGCTGCTTGCGTTTCTATCCATTCCAATCGACAGAATTTTTCAAAACGTTTTGAAAGCGTTTTTACAACGCTCCAAACTTCTCAGGTGAGTGTGACTATTGTCGGCAGCCTCTTTTTCTTCGGCAACCTTCCCATTAGAACTGCGTGTTAACCAGCTGTTCTATTATCGGCAACTCGAAATCAACCCCATTTTGTAGTGCGTATGCTTTATTTGAAGAAAAATGTAGCATTACTGGATTGCTCGATCGTTCAAATATAATCAGATTGAAGCTGAAAGGCTAAACAATCGTTTGGACACATTCAGGGAAGTGCGTTGATGGGACAACATAGTGAAATTAACGTTTAAATTTTGGTTGCCGAAAACAGTCAATGGGTGCCGAAGCCAACATTTACCCTATAAAAATACAAAAGTGAATTAAATTTACTCTCTTTTGTTTTTCTATGTACGACCCAATAGAAAGTGCAGATTCTACTTATATGAAGAAGATAAATTTATTATGTACCAAGTTACGCATTAGTTTTATTGTGATTCCAATTTTAGAACATTAAATTTTACTGCTAAGATTGATGTTAGGAGTACATGAATTTAAAAGTAAGATAAATCAGTTGTAAAAGGGATTATAAGTAACCCAATGGGCTCTTTTCTGATCTTTCTCACTATCGTGGCTGGTAAACAGTGACTTATAGACTGCAGTTGCCTTGGGATCCTTGGCTACACTGTAATCATGTTTCGATTTCTTGAAGTTCGGGTCATCTCCTATCTTGTCGCTAATGAGTGCCCTCTTATTCGGTATGATTGGCTTGTGAGACATACTTCCCAGCTTTCCAGCTGTTACTGTTTTTGAGGGTCCGGCTTCCATAGTATCCATAGTAACACTGCTGCTCGTTACAGTAGCGGTAGCAGCAACTTTTTCCTCTTTGGATTTCGCTTTCTTTTCGGCTTTGGCCTTCTTTTCAGCCTTTAGACGCGCCACTCTGGCTTCCATACGGGTTCGCATTAGATTGATGTCTTTTTCTGTGCCGTTTAAAATCACCACATCTTGCTCTGAGAATGGAGTAAGGCACTGAAAAAAAAAAAACAACGTGTGTACCTATTTATCTCATTAGGCTCATTAGATCAACTAAAAAAAAAACTTACGCAGGAGCAGTTCTTGTCCTTAACTTCCTTCAACGCCCGTTCCGAGAAAACACACCCACAGTTCCAGAGGGCAACGAAGCGGAACTGTCCGCTCATTTCTAGCCCAATCAGAGTGCAAATGAATTGAGCACTTTTTTCATCATGATTCTTTTCATATGCCGGATTGGCTGTCAGGTTTAGATCCTTGATGTCCTTCAGCGACTTGATGTGCGCACACGATTCGGGCATCTTGCTCTCCAGCAGGTGCTCGATTACATTCTGTTTGGAGTAAAGCCGGCCAAGCCCGCACATCACAATCGGCTGCTGCAATCGTTCCTGGGTCAGATTACAGTGCTTCCACCGGAACTGTCTTTCCGCGTCTTTGTCTTTCTAGCAGTGAAAGTTGGATGAAGTTTTTTGTCAATGGATACTTTTCTTGGTAGGATGAGGCGTTAGAAGATATTGTTTTACCTGTTCCGGTTTCTTCTTCAAACGAACTAATTCGTCTCGTCTCGGAATAGTTCCACCATCGCATCCCATTGCACCTTGTGTATAATTTGTGCACAGACAATCGTTAATTTAAGAAAATTTGTTACAATTGCGATGGTTTATGGTTGCAGTAAAAATCGAATCAAAACAGTAAAACGCAAAACTTTGTTTTCTGGGACGTCATCCCGAGTGAACTGTCAAAATTATGCCCTTCGGAAACGGTTAAATCGTTGAATCTTCGGGGCAACGATGCCAGATTTACAGACTTTTGATCCGAAAAAAGTGGACACCATCCTTTTGGAACCCTTGTAACTTTAGTTATAATAAAGATTTTTGTTTACCTGTTTAGAAAGAAAAATATTCCCAAAGACTAAATAGTTCTTACATTAATGTGGCTTCCCGAAACACTTGATTTGATATTGAATATTTTTATGGGTTTACATAGGATTTCCATTAAAAACTAGATGTATGAGTGCTCATTGCAAGGCAGAGTATATCACATCAAGAGCCACATGTGAAAAGGGCATACAAGCTTTTTGTAAACAAACCTTATTATGCCCTTTTCTCGCCACCCATATGACACCAACGCAAACCATCAACATCACCGGATAGCTTTCCCCTTCCCGATTATGTGGTTAGTTTGAGTGGGCGACCCTCGGTTGGCAAGAAGAGGGTCTACAAAGGTTTGTTTACAAAAAGCTTGTATGCCCTTTTCACATGTGGATCTTGTCATGATATACGCTGTAATGTGTACGGGGTATAACTTGGTATTACATGGTATTTTTTCGTGTACAGAAGTCTGTAAATCTGGCATCGTTGCTTCGCGGGGTTGAATCGGAGCGATCCTGCACGCTCGTTCAAATTTACTCTAAAGTGAGTAAAATTCCACTCACTTTCGTTAAAAGTGGAACTACTCTAAAGTGAGTAACCCCATGTTTACTCATTTTTGAGTAATGTATGAATTTGTCAAAATCTGAGTAGCACTTACTCAGTTTCGGTTTTCGCAATATTAGCACAACTGAGTAAAGGTTACTCAGTTTTGTAAATATTATATTTTGACAGGAAATTATTTGATCGAATTTTTTTTTTGAAGCATAATAAAAACGATTTATTTTATCACAACAGAATTATAAACTCTAATTAACAAATTGATAATAATTCTGCTTATTAAGCGATTCCGAAGGCCACTGCAACTATCATCTCCAGGTGCTATTTTCATTCCGAGAAGTAACCAGGGATGTAACATATTGAACATCTCGAATTGGATTGAGCGGCTTCCTGGCACAACTTACGGATCAGTTTCTCAGCATTTTTTTTCTGAAAATTAATTTCTTTTTGAATATATCAGTGCTAACATTTGAAAACGGCACAAAAGCCATTTGTAAACAAATGGTTTGTGGGCCCTTTACTCACTACTTGAAGTACACCCACGCGACACAACAGCAAAATCGGGTAGGGGAAATTTTCCCCTTCCTGACGATGCTGTTGGTTTGCGTGGGCGTTCTTCGGGTAGCGAGTAAAGGGCCCACAAACCATTTGTTTACAAATGGCTTTTGTGCCGTTTTCAAATGTTAGCACTGAATATTGCTATTTCCCGATTTTCTCATAAAGCTTACTTGTAATTCTCTCATAGTGAACTTTCCTTTGAATCGAGCTTGGGATTCTGAAGTTCACAACCAGAAGTTGTTGCAGAAGTTCACGTAACCTGTGTAAATTTGGGCTGAAATAAAGTTTATCTAAGGAAAAACACCAACTGCTACTCACGCTAGTTACTAGTCCAAAAAAGTTTCACAGAACGCTGAAACTTTCACTCTTTGAACGCTTTGTGGGAATTTCTCGGGGAAATTGCTTTCAGACCAGGACTTCAAAATTTTCGGACGTTTATTACATTTGATCTTACTCAAAACAGTAAAGATCCATATTTATTTAATTAGAGTAAATGTTACTCACTTTGTTAAATTAATGTTACTCAGTTTTTGACATTTAGCATACAAATACGAAACTGAGTCAAAGTTACTCACTTTAGAGTAAAATCAGACGAGCGTGTGCATGCAATATTTTCACTGTGCCGAAAGAAGTACATGACCAAAACAAAAACAATGAAAAAAATCTCACTCGATAAACACGTTAATTTCACGTAGACGGATAGCGCAAAATAGTCGTGAGGTATGAATCCAGTTGAAAGTTTCACATATCCGGATATTCCAAAAGCAATAAGGTAACAAAATCATATTGAATGTGTTCAGTTTTACCTACATGCTTCCCATTACAGTGAAATTCTCCTTAAACATGACAAACAGATGATCGTTGTTGGTGTGATTGGAAAATCTTCCACACCAAACTGCAATAAGCTGACTGGATTCAATCTGCTTACCACACATCCAGCTCTGACGGATTCGAAATGCAGCGAGGTATTTAAGCAGAATTACTCTTTTCTGTTTCTTGTCATGTCACAATATATGTAAATTACTTCAAGGGACGGATCAAATTCTATTTCGAAAACGACGGGGAAATCCTGTATCTGCACTTCGAGACAACCTTCGATCAGTACGTTATGGCCGATTTGCTGACAAAAGCCGTCGAAACCGGCATTCAGGATAATTTCGTGAATTTTAACAGCAACATGCGGACCAGATTTGCACGGATGCTACTGTTTGCTATCCAGGTTTGCCACATGATCGTTTTGGTCGAGCCGACTTCCGTCTTCGATACGAGTTATCTGTCGATCTTCAAATCATTAAAAATCATTCGGGAGAAGTATGTGTTGAAATTTCTGCCAAAACTGCTGAAAAGCTCAAATGTAGGCAACTATATGGGTAAGGAAGCCCGGCTTTGCAGTCCGAGATTCATATTCTTGTTCGAAGGAACAAGCGACATCAAGCCGGAAGATGTCGAAAAGCTGGATGCCTTAGAATGCGCCGTGGAAGATGATATATATAAAATGCTAAGGAATGAATTCATTATCACCAACAATAGTGCGATGTCGCTGTTCTCCATTCCAAGAAACAAAAAGTTTGTGTTCTTTAGCAGCGACATGAAGGCAAAATCGGACCCATTGCTGGATTCAATAGATATGCTGATGGAGTATCTGGACAAGCCTTCCGGGACACAACATGATAAGGATGATTTTGATTTTATGAACAGCTTGCGGCCTTGCGACGGATATGGGATGTCGGCTTGGAGTGTCGGACAAAGTACGAAGAAAACCGGACAAGAACGGCACATTTTGACTCTACTCAAGAAGCACGTTGCGGAAGCATTCGAGCATGGTTTCGATGACAGTGTATCGAAGTACAGGGGCAGAAGTCATTTTGCGGTAATTATCAATTGGTTATTCGTTAACTAGGGGGCAAAATGAACCATTTTATTTTGGTGAAAATTTCCTCTGTAATTTATTTATTTTCTTTAGGTCCCAGGCGTCAAATCTTGGTTTGAAGGTTTCAAATTTCTGCATAAAATATTCATTGAAAACCCTGATAATCCTAATTACGAGCCAGGAGATGTGGATTACGTGAGTTCCAGTATTATACAAATAAACGTCTACTTCTGACAAACATTTCTGTTTTTAGAAAGCATATTTGGAAAACTTTCACAAGATCATCGACATCGACGAACGCTTCTTCGCCGAAGTTTGCGAGCACGGCATGGAGCTAGCCATGGTTAACTATAAGGAAATGTTACCCCACCATTATAGTGGCACATTCCACGAGAAGAAACACAGACAAGCCCGCGAACTGTTTCTGCGATATGCCCGAGGACCAGAGGTGGAAAAACACGAAACCAAACTGAAGGATTACTGTGACTCGATTTGGTTGAACGGAAAGCAGCAATGTGAATACCCAAGCCTGCGGGGAAATCCCTGCGCACTGGGAAAGCACAAAGCTAACGATCCCATGGAACATTCCAGTGGAGTGGTTTTCATATCCGCTTGTAACTGTGGACGAACGCAGGGCCACCGCGAAGATCCGTACACCATTAGGCAGGCCAATTATGAATTCTATCAACTCATTGCCAAAAGTTGCAGCAATTGCACGCTTCTGGAGAGGGTGAAATTTCCAGTGTTCGAACCATCCAGTAGTGACTTCCGTGCAGCGGAATTTATTAACAAGAATTTGTCGAATCTGATGTCTTTTGAAAACTCCAGTAAGACTCCCGATACCACCAGTCATCCCCCGATGACAAATGAACATTCTCCACATCTTTCCGGAAGCCAAAAAAGTCAGGACAGTGCTTCAAATTTGACCTTCAGCATCGACGATAAAGAGGAAAATGAAACCAACGCAAATCATTACGCAAGCCAAGCCGATGAAGAGGAAGCTTTGGAGCAAGAATCGATTAATGAAATTGTCATCAAAGTTGGAGAACATGCTGACCAATCGGAACAAGAGAAAGCCATTCTTAGACAACCCTCCACGACGGAATACCTTCCTGGAATGCTTCATGCAGCTAGTCCAGCTGGATTGCTTCCCCAGTTCCCATCGTGGTCCTTGGTTTGTCTAGGGCCCAGTTCGATCTATACCCACAATAGCGGTCTTCCAGAGCACGTTCAGAGTGGATTTCTATCGGGATCTAACTTTCTACTACCGTGGGATGTCAGTGTACGCCTCGAGCACGCACAGTCATGGGCAGCTTCGTATGAAAAAATTCGCAACCGGAAGAAAAACACCTCCCAATCGAAATCTAGTGAATCCAGCAATAACTTCACGCTGAAAATCTTCATCGGCATTGAATACGAGTGTCTTCGGGGACATCGATTCATCATGAGTGGACCGGAGACGGTCCTTCGGGGTGGTTCCGGTATCGTGCGGGACAGTGGAAGCAAGGTCGTCTTCAACGATATGCCCATCTACTTCCCATGTCTGTGTCGCAGTTCGAACGTTGCTCAACTAATGCGGGTTCATATTGTAACACCAAAAGCCCCGGTGAATGTGATTTTGGAACCGAAGATTAAAATTTTCCAGAATAATATGCAGAGCAATTTGACATTTACCACTGGATTGCCGGAACCTATCAAACTGACGAAGAGTGCTTATTGGATTTTGCGTCTACCGTTCGTCTACGAGGGTGACGGTGGGCCGTTGGTACCACCTGTAGAGGTGAACCCAAGCAATGCCGCCATGCACGGAGTGCTGCTGGCCGGGATGTACGGAATCAAGGAGAGTGAGATTAGTGAGGAATTAGTTTAAGTGCGGATGGTGATACGAAATTACAATGAAATAAAAACGTTCTTTAAAATACTTTCTAGCAGAGCGTAGTTTCGATCTACGGACCTCTGGGTTATGGGCCCAGCACGCTTCCACTGCGCCACTCTGCTATCGAAATATACTAGCGACAAGTTCTTCCATAAGAATTATTTTTTTCTGTTTTGTTTGATTGTTCACATACCAAACTAATTAATTTTCAAAGGATATAATAAATTATAATGTAATTCAATACAGATGTGGTAAAAGGCCTAACAGCTTTGGTAAACAATGCCTTGATTTCTACAAAGTCACGATTTATCCACGTAAACCAACATCACCCCTACTCGATAGTTATGTTGGTTTGCGTGGGCGTGTCTTGAATTCCTAGAAATCATCGAGAAAAGTAATTTTTCACAAAAGCTGTTAGGCCTTTTTTCCAGATCTGTATTGATTTGTTTCAAAATTACTCGTTTCGTTAAATACTCTGCTTACTTTCAGTGCATTAAAAAACGGTAGGTATGGACAAATATGGTAAAAAATACTACGCAGCCGGTAGGATTCGAACCTACGCTCCCAGAGGGAATCTGATTTCGAGTCAGACGCCTTAACCACTCGGCCACGACTGCACACAAAAACCATGTCATTTTAATGATTGTGCTACCTACATTCAACATTATTCTTGTTTACGCCCGTATCGGACACATCCAAAAGTTATGACATTTTGCATTCCCGTTTTCGTACGAACGAGCATTTTCGTATACACTTTTTGAACATGTTGTTTTTTGGAAATTTTGAAGTTACGGTCTTCGGAAAAGTTCTTTGGTAGGCCCAGGCTGTTCTATCAACTTCCTGTATATGCTCTATGTATTTCACGAGTCTGTCCATATAGCATGTTGCTGTCTTCAGCAAAGTTGTTCTGTTGACCAAGTCCGTCCGGATGGTTGTCAGATAAGTTCAGAATTCTGTCACTACTCGGCGCTAGTGTGGATGTGGACTTCCTGTTGTACTTTATCTCGAGAGTCTGTCCTTATAGAAGTTTACTGTCTTCGGTAAAGTTGTTCTGGTCAAATATCCTTCATTATCGGTATTTCCGGAATCGAGGTAACGTCTAGAGACCGGGAATCATTGTCCGACGCCATCTTGGAATTCAATGGCTTCCGGTTACAGAAAACCTAAAAAATACAGTCAAATACCCTTCAATATGGGTATTTACGGAATCGGGGTGATGTCTAGAGACTGGAAATTGATGTCCGACGCCATTCAAGATGGCGGCTTGTGGATACAGAAAACTGGGAAATATGTACAGTCAAATATCCTTCAATATGGGTATTTTCGGAATTGGGATGATGTCTAGAGACTGTCCGATACCATCAAAGAATCCAAAATGGCGGCTTCCGGTTACAAACAAAACTGAGAAATACAGCCTATCCTTCACTATGGGTATCTCTGGAATCGGAGTGACACCTAGAGACCGGAAATTGGGGTCTTGGGATCCAAGATGGCCGTTTTCGATTACAGAAAAACTGAGAAATACAGTCAAAACACCATTCAATATGTAAATTTCCGGAATCGGGGTGATGTCTAGAGACTGGAAATTGATGTCCGACGCCATCTTGGATTCCAAGATGGCGCCTTCCAATAAAATTAAACTGAGAAATACAGTTAAATACCCTTGGATTCACAGAACAGAAATGGAACTTCGGATCAGAAAGTGGTTCCACTTGTCATTGGCGAACACTAGCACACCTAGCGGTAGAAGACATCTTCTGACTGCAGTTAAGATAGGCAGCAAGCTATGATAGTATGAGTGCGCATAGAAAGCCCGTGTGGAACGATATTACTTTTTTGTATTAATCTCTATCTGGCTGACAAAAATCTGTAGAATAATATGAACAATTTCTTTATTAATAGTACGTTCAGACTACAGAGTTATAACATGTTATAGCTCTATCTTGATGGTGGTTTCTGTGTTGCAATTAGTTGACAACCGTTATAACATGTTATAACTCTCCAGTCTGTACAGCGTTTAAGAGACGAAAAGTCTCTATAATAAAAACAAAAAAAAAATATTACGATCTTAGTGCGGATATTCATGAATCTTTTTTCAGTTCATTCAATGTTCAGAAAGAGTTTGTTCAAAGTCGTATTATTTATTTATCTAAGTGCAATCGTGTTCGCCTGTTTTTTTTTTGTATTTTGTCACAACACAAAACTTTTATTTTATATTTTTAGTCAAATTGCATACAATGTTCTTTATTTCCGATATTATGCTATTCAAATTTCAAAATATCCAGTCACAAACTGTTTTTTTTTTAACTCTTTATTTGTTCCAAATTCAAAATAAATTACATTTCATTTTAACCTAGGTGCTCCAGTTACTACAGTAACTTACCAGCCTTAATTGTTATCATATATATCTAAGTGTTTTTACATTGTTCCTGTCTTGTCAATTCAGTATTTTAAACAAGTTTTTTAAAACTGCATTGTTAAAACTGCACTTTGTTCTGAATCCTTTGAAGTGCTTTTTTCCTGGTAGTGCAACAACTAGACCATATTGGCACATCGTAAAGCATGGCCGGTCTAAAAACTTGTTTAAATATTAGAAGTTTATTCGTCAGACAAAGTTTGGATTTGTCACACTTAAAGTGTTCATTTTATACGATAGATGAGTAAAGGGCGAACACGAAATTATTGCGACACCGAAAATGTCATGCCAATTTTCTTATAATGTTTAGAATCAAACCAAAATTTTAGGGTAGTTTTATACATATATTTACTTCAAAAATCAAAAGAAAAGATAATCGATGGAGCCTTGAGTGTAAAATTGAACGCATTTTCGCTTGATGCCCTCCATCAAAGTCTTTACAGAGTCATCCAGTACCAGTTTCTCAGTTTTTTTTTCCATTTTCTTAACATGTCCTTCTCGTCTTTGACTGTCTTCTTGCTCTTCCGAAGTTCCCGCTTCATTATTGCCCAGTACTGCTCCACCGGGCGCAGCTCCGGACAGTTTGGCGGATTCATGTCCTTTGGAACAAAATGGACAGAATTGGCCTCATACCACTCCAGGGCACCTTTAGAATAGTGGCATGATGCCAAATCTGGCCAAAATAGCGGAGCTTCGTCGTGCTGCTGCAAGAACGGCAAAAGGCGCTTCTCGAGGCACTCAGATTTGCAGATCTCGCCATTTACTGTACCCTTTGTCACGAAAGGCTCACTCCTCAGTCCGCAAGAGCAGATGGCCTGCCAAATGAGATATTTGGAGGCGAACTTCGACATTTTCTTCTTCTTAAATTTGTCGTCCACATCGAACTTGCTCTTGCCGGTGAAAAACTCCAACCCCGGAATTTGCTTAAAATCGGCTTTTATATACGTTTCGTCGTCCATCACACAGCAGCCATATTTTGTCAGCATCTTCTCGTAGAGCTTCCGTGCCCGAGTTTTAGCCGTCGATTGTTGCCGCTCATCGCGGTTTGGGAAGTTCTGTACCTTGTATGTATGTAGTCCAGCTCTCTTCTTTGCATTCTGGACGTAAAGGGTGTCCACGATGAAATTGCCACACACAAAATTGATTCGCAAAATTCGAGTTTTCATCCGATTACCATCAAATTTTCAGGGATTGAGAAATAACTATTAAACTTCATTTTACCATTTTACTCGTATTTTATTAACAGTCCATACGCAAATGCCCGCACCTTGGCCTTAACCCCGGCCATAAGATTCTGCACAACCTGTGAATCAACCGTTTTTTGCATGTAAACCCATATTTTCTTCAGTTCCTCGACTGCCTTCACTACCTTAGGTCGTTTAAGAAGGTGCTGCTTCATAATCGCCCAGTACTTCTCGATGGGGCGGAGCTCCGGAGTGTTGGGAGCAGAGTTGAAAAAATCATGAAAAAATCACCAGCATTCACTATGAAATGAATTTTTCATCCATAGTGAACTTTGATGAATTTTAGTGATTTTTTCAGCCCTGGTTGGGAGGATTGAACATTTTCGGCACGAAATTGACCTTATTGTCCGCATACCACTTCAGCACGTCCTTGGAGTAGTGGCATGAGGCCAAATCCGGCCAGAAGATTGTTGGGACGTTGTGGGCCTTCAGGAGAGGAAGCAGCCGCTTCTGGAGGCACTCTTTTATGTACACCTGTCCGTTCATCGTGTCCTGGGTCACGAAAGGTGCACTCCGCTTCCCGCACGTGCAGATGGCTTGCCAAACCAGGAATTTCTTCGCAAATTTGGACATCTTTTGAGTGCGGACATGCTCCGGAACGCTGAACTTATCCTTGGCCGTGAAAAACAGGTTGCCGGGGATCTGTTTGAAATCGGCCTTCACATATGTTTCGTCGTCCATGATGCAGCATTCAACTTTCGTCAGCATGTTGAGGTACAACTTCCTGGCACGGGTTTTGGTGGACTTGTTCTGCTTCTCGTCGCGATTAGGGGCCTTTTGTACCTTGAACGTTCGAAGCCCAGTCTTAGTTTTGGCCTTCTGGACAAAACTTCGGCTTAGGTGCAGCTTCTTAGCCACATCCCTAACGGAGGCGTTCGGATTTCGGTTGAAATCCCCAACTACGCGGTTGTGATTATTGGTGTTGAACGGAATACTTTTTCCTTCACTTCTGGGCTTCCGATCGGTGGTCAACCGTTCCTCGAACCGCTTAATCACTCGCGACACCGTGGAATTCGCGATTCCCAACGTTTTAGCGATGGAACGATGCGAGAGATCCTTGTTCTCGTGATGAATGCGCAAGATTTTATCACGCACGAGCTGTTCTTTCGACTCCATTTCCGCGAGTTTTGATCACAGGACTTTAAAACTTGCAGGATGTAAATAATGCACTATGAACTAAATCCACCCAAATTTTCATTAAATTCTACCCAACGGTTAAAAAGTTAGAGCAATTTCATGGTGTGGCAATTTCATCGTGGACACCCTTTAGCTCTGCGACATGCCGATCTTTTTAGCCAAATCACGGCTTGAGACGTTGGGATTTGCTTTAATCATCCGCTTCACCTTTCCCTCCGTCTTTTTGTTCTCCGGTCCCGGTTTTCTTCCAGCTCCTTTGCCGTGGTCCAACGTCAACCGCTCCTGGAACCGCTTCAACACTCTGGAGACGGTTGAATGGTGAATGTT